GTACTTTTTTCCCCAGAAAATGTGAGGTTCCTGAGGGATTTTCAAAAAACTAAAGTTTCTGCTGACCAAGTCGGTAACAGCTGCTAGTTACTTACAATGTTGAAAACGTTATATCATCATCATCATCAGTCTATTAATGTCCCTACTGCTGGGGTACAGGCCTTCCCTATGGATGGAATAGGGAGATTGGGCCATGACCCCCGCGGGCCCAGTGCGGATTGGCGGGTGTTAACGACTGCAGATGCAGACGGGACCAACGGCTTAACGTGCCTTCCGAAGCACGGAGGAGCTCGAGATAGTAAATTTTTGGTCACCCATCCAATGACCGACCACTGCGAAAGTTACTTAACGTCAACGATCGCAGCCGAACGCGCTAACCACTTACGCTATTGAGCTCTTCAATATAAACAACAAACAAACGTTATATAGTTTTGCATTTTTCCTAGTGACTGTCTTTATGTGTATTTTTATTATTTCTACAGAATATATTATGAGTATCAGTATCCTTCTCAGACGGGAAAATTGAGACAATTACAACAGAGGCCTATCACGGCATATTTCAATCACTTCAATATTTAACCCTCATTGAACCACAATAAGGTTCAATTAATAATAAAGTCAGTTTGTCTGAGTCCGTTCACTTTCATATTTTAATGTTTCGTAACTAACTATCCTCATTTACTTTGGTTAAGTTTAGACATTATCCTGAAAAGTTTTTTTTTTTTATAGATAGGTCCGACAAATGACAGGTGGGGACCTGATGTTAAGTGATGGTGAAGTCCAGACGTGAAGATAGCTGGTACAGACGTTCTACCTGCCATCAAAATTAAACAATAAAATAAAATGAATAATAAAATATGAAGAGCTCGATGGCGCAGGTGGTTAGCGCGTTCGGCTGCGATCGTTGAAATTTAGCAACTTTCACAGTGGTCGGTCATTGGATGGGTGACCAAAACTTACTATCTCGAGCTCCTCCATGCTTCGGAAGGCACGTTAAGCCGTTGGTCCCGGCTGCATCTGCAGTCGGTATCACCCACCATTCCGCACTGGGCCCGCGTGGTGGGTCATGGCCTAATCTCCCTATTCCATCCATAAGTAAGGCCTGTGCCCCAGTAGTGGGGACATTAATAGGCTGATGATGAATAATAAAATTAAATCACTTGTAGATCTGATTTTATTATAGTGCGTGCGGTCGTGGCGTGGGCGCACAAATGAATGAGCATCGAATCGTCGAGCAGCGGACGGCGGGGTATGGTGAAGGGAGGGAATGCCTCGCGCATTTTTTTCGACTACCCTCTCAACTGTGTGCGGATTGGCTGATCGTACTGAGGCTATTGACAGAGCTTTCAAAATTCGTCCTTGGGCCTCAAGTCATTAGAAATAAAGTAATAAGCTATCACAGCACATGAATCGTTATATGTATAAATAATATTTTGATTCATGTTAATAAGCAAGTTCAGTTGGGGCTCAAATAGTGTGAATAAGAGGAAGCGTTTGTTTCCCGTAATGGCCGCTTACAATCAGTCTTTGCCAAACTTTTGACATAAAAATACCGAAACATCGGGAATTCTTGGCAGAACGTAATTTTAGAGCGACTTAGCAAAACTAACTTATTTATCAAAAGTTTTATCTACTACCAAAGTAATTTCCACTAGTAAGCATTTCTATAGCAAAATTACTTACCTATCAAAAAATTGAAAATATATTATTATAAGTTAATTAAGCGCGTAAAAAGTTTTAAACTTGTACGAAAAGTTTAATTGGCACGTCCCCAACTATTTTGAGCTTCGGAATTGAAATTCCGCTGCCGAGCTTACTAATTATTTTCTATGTCGAGATAGACGAAGGACGTTGTAAAAATATCTCAAAAGAGAATAAAATTAAGTTAATATGCCCTCCCTGTTTTTTCTGAGTGTTTATAATTAATTTTGAAGTGGTGCAAGGTAGCTGGCGTTTCATGATTCTAGCTAACGCCTCCTTTATTGGTTAATTCATTTATTTCGATCATTTAACATTTCAATTAACGAACGAACGTTCCTGGTTTTTGCACGAGTGTAATTTTTTGCGATAGAATTATTAAAATAACTTTTTCTTTTCTAATGCACTCGAAGTTACAGTGCCAATTCGCAGAATTTCTGTCACAGAAAATAATCACAAATTTTTATCTATTTACTTACATTAAAAGAGCATTATCATACTGCAAGGTTTCTTTATTTAGAATATCGAAAATACCTAGATCATCTTAACACAAAAGAGGTATCTACTTATCACAATATAGACCACAGCTCTAAGAGAAAAATATAATCTCCCTAAGTGTCTCTCATTCGACGAAAAACGAAATTTCGATCGAAACTTCACACTTTTCTTACTATATTTCTAGTTCGTTTTTATTTATAATAATATTCGCCGTCGGAATATAGATTGAGGTGTAGATTTTCTAAGCCTACTCGAAGAAAGCAAAAATTAAGTATAACTTTAAATTGACGAATTTAAATTTCGTTTGAACTTCGTAATCGAAAGTTCGTTTGTTCGTTCTTTCCTTTTGAAAAAAAGGGAGTAGACCCCCTGGTACGGCAAAGATACTTGATGTATGTTGCAGGCTTAGTGGCCTACGTATACGAGGCACTATTTTCGCGGAGGACAAAAGTCCCTGAATCGTGAAAAAAGATGTCTCTCCTTTCGTCGATCTTTTTTCACTTGTTGTTGTTGTTGTGATTCAGGGACTGATTCATTCATTCGATGTTGTATCCGTGACACCAGTTACGGACTCAAAATAGATTGTGCGAACATTTGTTGCGCGGAAATAAGAGCATCACACGCTATGGAAGTAAATATTTTTAAATTACGTTGTGTTGTTATTAAAATGAAGCTTAAGAAAAAGAGAAGATGATTTAAAAAGAGAATAGTGGGTCCAGTCCACGGAGTACAGTGTAGAGTTAAATATTTTTCGGGGTCTCCCGTGTACTTTTTTCCTTTCCGGTCCCTCGTTTCTCAGTTGTCCGGGGACTTTTTTTCCTCGTGTGCGTTACTCGAGGCAGTTGTAAGCCATCTATTTTGGCGGACAAAAGTACCTCGTCTGCGTAGGCCATGAAAGATGACTTTAAACACGACATTGTAAATTAATATTTCATCTAAATACGATATACATTTTCCGAAGAACATCACACTAATACTCGTTTAGGGACCAAGTTCGGAGTTATTTCCTATCCCAACAGTGATGTTAAATTTTTGCTTCATCCTCTATCTTTCCTTCCTTAGATATATCTGTTTTCCTGCCATTGATATTATTATTATTTTCTATTACACCCCTCCTTTTCTGCTTCATATTTATTTATCTTTATATTATGGGTTGCCTGGAAGATATTGCTGCCTAGCAATAAGGCCGCCTATATTGTGTACGTTCTATCTGTCATGTTTTTAATTTACTTGTGTGTTTTGTATGGTGTATTGCAATAAAGAATATTATTGTTATTATTAATATTACAAAGGCGAAAGTTTGTGAGTGTGTATGTTTGTTACTTCTTCACGTCTAAACGGCTGGGGCAATTTTAATAAAATTTGGTATGGAGTTAGCTGACACCCTGGATTAACACATAGGCTACGTTTTACTGCGAGAAATATCCCTAATGCACCGCGGGTAACACCGCGGGGCACAGCTAGTAATACATAATACAGAGGGCGTACTCTTGAAATCAACTCGTGAGCTTTGTTATGTCATGCCCTACTCTAAGGCATTCAAAATTATATAAGTTAGACTATGGTGAACGACGATCTTGGTTTAATTTTAGTATAAGACAATTTTTAAGGTAGCGTCCAGTACCATATAAACAAACATGCACTGGGCTTTATTGATTTGTACTCATTCCTGTAATCTAACGCTAGATGATAACAAATTGTCAATTGAAGATTATTAAGTAAAGAAAGATAGAGCTTAGTGGATTTTTCACCCGTCTGGGGATGTAACCTCCGCCTTACAGAAGATACAGTAAAATAACACTACCTTTTGGTGGTGTGTTTCAGTCGTTGAGTAAGGTTCCAGGGTTCCGCGGGGTAGGGGATTGGCTTAGCATATTTTTTGTATTGCAAGCTTCAATAGGCTGCGGTGGCTATTGCTAACGACAATAGATTGACCTTACAGTGGATTAAAGGATACAGTGGCTCAAGGGGTAACGATGCGGCGGACTGCTTAGCCAAGGAGGGGTCCAGCAGGACGGCCATTGGTCCGGAGCCAATTATACCTATACCCTATCGACAGCTGCGAACCTGGATAAGGGAGCGCTCTCAGCGACAACGAATACTGGTCAAAACTCACGGACTGCAGGCAAGCTAAGGAAGCCGTTCCTAAGGTAAATCTGCAGCTAACACGTAAGTTAATCAGACTACCTAGACAAGCCCTAAAACAAATCGTGGGTATACTCACGGGTCACGGCTACTTCAACAAACACCTTTGTAATATAGGTATTTCTGACAGACCTCTGTGCAGAGCCTGCCTGGAGAAGGATGAGACGAGCACCCATGTCCTACTGGAGTGCAGGGGCGTTGCAAGACAAAGGACTTCTCTTATGGGAAGCCCGAAGACAAAAGTAGAGGCTTGCAGCAACATTCGGGGACTGCTGAGCTTTCTGGAGGAGCTGGGATGGCAGGACTAATGCCAATCCCCACGCAAAATAGACACTGAGTGTCGAGTTGCGGAAACAGCCCGCCATACTACTAAGACTAAGACTAACACTAGGCTGCAGTGGCCGCTTACCATCAGCGAGAAATACACTTGTTTGCCACCCTTTTAACATAAATTATCTTTAAATCTAAAGAAAATATAACTAGAAAAAATTCCAATCCAGGTCCCGTCTGCAGCCTGGTCCGCGTGGATTTTTTTTTCTAGTTATATTTTCTTTAGATTTATAGATCAAGCAGTTACATGCTTTAAAAAATAAAAATTATAACTATAAATTATATTGAAAATTTTATATTCAAAAATTACATTGAAAATCCAAACTTACCTTTCATCGCCATCGTGGGTAACAAAACTATGGCCTGCAGCAACGACAAGAAGCAAGTCCTCTCGAGCCACATCTTACTGTCCTTATCACCCGAAACTGTCCATTGTCATTCACAAACACCAACCTTTATGGTTATACACTTAAAGTCTTATTTAGAACATCGTTGTTACTATTTCATAAAAATGCAGCTTAAGTTTTAGTCTGCAATTGGTTTAAAATATTATTCTATGGTATATTAACGAAAATGTTGCTTTGTGTGGCCAAAATAAGATTAAGCTATAGAAAACTACCAGTACCTACTTTTGTTTATTTGTTGCGATCATTCTCAGTAGATCCATGAAGGGTCTAGTGAGAATTTATTTCCTAATTAGACACTAATGTCAAGCTATGCATATATTTTTTATTTCAAATAGCATAGATGTGGTATCCCCATTTTTCTCTACCAATTGTAAGTTATAAGTTTTATTATATTATCATTAAGGAATGATACGTTTGTACTACGTTAAGGTTGTGACATCGTAAACGTTCTGAAAATAACCAAAATCTAAACGATACGCCAAACTTTGCAAACATTCACTTATTCATAAAAGAAACTCTATCGTAAGTTAAATAAATATTTTTTCGCCTATTGGCCCACGCTTATCCCTCGGGTTCGGAAGGTATTGTTGACACTTGATGCTTCAACGATCACCCAAGCAAATAAATTGTGAAATCGTTTGTCACAAATTCAAGGTAAACGTTTATTTATATCGCGATAATTCCTTTTATGTATACATGACAATGCTATCGTTGCAAATAACTATGTTATTTAAAAATATTTCCCCCCTTGGGATTGGGATTTGCTCTTTTCCGCATGGTTTTTGTTATCAATGGTATTAATTAGGTCTTAAATAGCAGATAAATAGGCTTTTCTTCATTTTTCATACCGATTTATTTTATTAGTTATATAACTTTAATATTAACACTTATGTCGCAGATAAAAGAATAATTTGATACAAATATTGAATTGCACGGAATCTAACTATTAATAAAGTTTATCACCGAACTAAATAAAGAGTTCACTCGATACTTGAGATATTATGTTAATTGAAAAGTTTGAATTTTACCCTACAAAAATATTCTCAAGGCCTACTTATTAAGCTCGTATCATTATCCTAGAATCACAAATCCCTTTATCCAATCTAATATTTTCAAAATAAAAACAATTGAATATCCCTTTTCAATTTAAAGAAAATCTAGTAAATTTCAGAGTTTAAGAGTTATAGTGCAGGAATAGTTTATTTAAAGTATGCGAGCGAATAAATAATTATTTTACAGGTTAAAAACTAACCTGTGAAGTAATTAATTAATTGAATAATTATTAATGGTGAATATTGTAGGTTCTTGATTGCCCTGCGTGTTTGATAAGGAATTACATGATTATTTATTTTTCAGCTTCTTTAATACAACTCACTAATGGTTGAAATGTATACGATTTTGTGTAAAAAAAATAAAAATAAAACACACGCACTCCAAAATACATGCATTACCAAAAAAATATGATTCTCATTTAAATGGCAATTTCATAATTTTGAAATTAAAGAAAATTAAAAATAAATTTCACAGCTAAAAGATTTTTTTTAAATAGCACTGTATTGTTCGATGTTCAATTAGACTGATAAAAAAACCGATATCACATTAAACTAGGATTTAGTTAAAACAAAATTCAAACCAGTAAAAAATCAAACTTTTGAAACCACTCCAAAACAACATTTTGCCATTAACATTAACGTAACAACCAGCATTTCTACATGAAAACCATAAATCGATTTGACAAAGATTTTAAAACGGACACATTTATCAATATCAGATATTTTATAGCGCGTAAACGAGCGTGTTGACTACGAGGCGACGCATCGCGTGCGAGCCGTAGCGCTGCTCGTAGCGTACTGACACTGTCTCGTAGCACTAGTAGCACACAGTTTCGGTGTAGACACACAGTTCTGTAAACACACTGCTACACGAGACGGTGGTATTACTTGAAAAGGTCGATTCAAACGTTTCAGCCTAGCACCTTTCATGTGAATGCAATACGAATGCGACTGCGTTTTGTTTGTTATAGTCTAAGATCCGAACAACCTTCACCGAGATGATAATAGCAAGAAACATATTTTATCACGAATTTAATATATAAGGAAATATATATTAAAAATGGGTTGCCTAAAAATATCCTGGACAGACTATAAATAAAAAGAATTAAACATCAAGATAATAAGAAAATGTTGTCCTGACTTACAGTATAAAACGTATAAAATGTGCAACCAAACATTGTGATAGTCATAATGTTTCGTCTTTAAATGCAACAGGATATCATGTTTTAATTGCTAAATAGTGTCTTTGTCTTACATAAATAAATATGGAAGATGATAATTTACTATTCAATGATTCTAAGATTTATTTTTAGAATTACAACAAAGCTTTTTATTACCTAAGTAATTCAGGAAAAATAACAACAATTATTTAGTCATAAACTAAACGTAGCTTGTGCTATAAAAACTAAAATGTTTGCATTAGAAGCACACAGTTTCGGTGTAAGCACACAGTTCTGTAAATACACTGCTATTGTTTCAGCCTAGCGTCTTTCACGTGAATGCAATACGAATGCAACTGCGTTTTGATTATTACAATGTTTCGTTTTTAAATACAATAGGATGTCGTGTGTCGATCATCAAAATATTGAACTTTTAACCAATTTTGAAATATTCTAAATATTTATACTCTTGTTTTAATAATAACTGGTTTAATATTGACCAAAGAAAGTAAACATTTGAATAATTTATACATTAAATAAGGATAATACATATATAAAATATAAACTGATAAAAAATGCAGTTTGCGTAAATGATGCATGTTGCTTTAACTTTTTTAGTGTGTGTAGGTTGAAAAGGGGTTTATTAATGAAATAGTTGATTTGGTAAAACAATATTTGTATTCATTACATAAATAAGCTCTCCTACCAAAATTCGAAACCAGGACGTTTGTAGCTGAACGCTGCCGTGCCGCAACAAGTAGTTAACTATCAGTTCAATGGTAATTTAGTAATTTGTTATTTGAAAATATTGAATATATTTTTTAAGCATACTACTGGATGTGTAAACCGAATGTAATTTTTACTAGAAACAATTCCACTCGTAACTTTTTCCAGTTAAATTTCATTCGATTTAAAAATGAAAAATGTTCATAGCCCTGCAGAATAAAAATAATGCTAATTTATTGAAACCGATATCTCCATCTATTTAGGATATATAAATACTAAAAAACCTTTAGCAAATAATTTCTACTTTTCTTTTCAAAGGCCAGATAGATCAATCATTCTGTTTATTTTGGATAATACAAATGGGTATAATGTAAACATTGGAGCCCGCATTGAAGCCAAACACAGCTCTATATATTTTACAGTTGCATCAAATAAAAAGAAGACGCTTCAGATAAAAATAGAAAAAGGATAACACATTTGCTTTTTTATATGTATTCGTATTTTTTATTGTAAACTGTTAAGATATCGATTTAAAGAATGAAATAAAATCCATCTATTCTAAAAAAGACGAACAAATAAATAACATGAATACTTATTATAATTATTATTCAAACGGACACTTTGGTTGGTGCTTACGACTGCATAATGCAGCTGGGGTTATCAGGCCTAAGATAAGTATTGTTAGAAAGGAAAACAAACAAGACAAGAGCGGTTTTTCTGCTCGATTTGGAGAGCCCCTGGGTAAGTAAAGTCCACCTTACAGAAGACTACAATAAATTCACACTACCTTTTCGTAGTGTTGTATGTTCTGTCGGTGGGTAAGGTTCCAGAGCTCCACGTGGTAGGGGATTGGGTCAGGGTAGACAATGGTGCGAGTTATATTTTTTGTATCGCAAGCGTCTACAGGCTATGGTGGCCACTTACCATCAGGTGGGCCATACCATGCTTATTTACCACCCTATTAGCATAAAAAAGAGTTTCTAATGCACTAAAACTATTTTTGAATTCCAAATCAAGAAGGAAAAAAAAAAGAATTTTTATAGAGTCTGTGCGGAAAGAGAAAGGGCGTGACGAAAAACAGAACTAACATTAAGATTTTTATTTGGCAATCAAACCCAGCAATCTGTAAAACGTCAAAGTTTTGTATTGATACGGATTTGTTTGTTGTTGTGATTTCTTGCGGTTTTTTGTATTTAATCATGTCTAAAAGGGGTAAAATCTTACAAAAGCGCTACAGCGCCCTCCAATTTAAATCCCATTCTCTTTCCGCACAGACTCTAACAATTTTTTAAAAAACCGTTTTGTAACAATATTATGAAAGAGGTTACTAGCAATATTTTAAAATGCATGCAACTATGTCAGGTATTCGGTAACACACCGTGCAACAAAAACTGCAAAGTGAGACGATGTTTATTAAATTCCTCTCATGGAATATTTTGCTTAAGTTCTCTAGAGTGATGTTGTATGTAAAATTTAATGCGCGCATCTAGCAACGTCTCCTTAAACGATGTAGCGTGGGAACGAACAAGCTTGTGAAGAACATTTGCGAGTGAAACAAATGAGTGCTCCGCGTCGCACTATATTATAATAATGTAGTACTTTTACGCATAAAATATCATGGAAACTCCCAAATTGTATAAGAATTAAAGAATCTGTAAATATAAAAGGCATCCTTTACTGACTGTCTGATCTAATAACGTACAGCTCAAACTAAATACATAACATTGAAAGAACATTGGAAACTTTACTATGGAAAAATACCCCACAGCGTACAGAGATGAATTCTATCTTATTATAAAGCATTTTACTTCTTGCTATGTTGACCTTGAGCGCATTTTTGTGACCCATAGGAATATTGGGATATAACTAGATTTAAGTAATGCTTTACACTCTTCAATGCCGCCTTCCACAACAACAAGGTGCGTAAGGCGGAATAAAATATCATTCGGTGTTACTACTAGCTAAAGCACGTGCTATCTCTGCAACTAGTAAGATGTTTCACTTTTAAAATAATAAGCGGTGCAAATCTCTAGAATCTTGGACAAAATTGGTTCCCATTTTGTCTCCAAATATTTCTGAATTTCGCATTCTACCACATACTAACAGTATTACTTCTTCGTCAAGAAGAATTATATCTTAGCCCAGCCCGCTACTTTTGGATAAGTGGGGCAAAATTTTTCAATGTCTTTTGGCACACACATAGCTATTATGATGTAGGCATGATCTAAGGAAGGATTGAAAAATGGGGGTTCAAAGTTAAACAGGAAACCAATATTTCCACGGAACAAAGTCGCGGGCAGCCAACTAGTATCATAATATAAACATAATGTTTTATGTTGAATTGGTCTCAAACAAGCATATGGCCGGCTGATAGTAAGCGACCACCAAAGCCTATAAACGGTGCGATACCAAAAATATTAATTGCATCGTTGCCTACTCTGATCCAATTTCCTTTTTCAAAATTCAAAATTTCCTTGGCTGAACCCCTCAACTCAAGGCCAGTAAAAATTGAAGTTCCTGGCACAACACTTCAGGCAGCGCTTGAAGTCCCTTCTATCTAACTGTAATAAAAACCAACTCAGAAAATGTTCCTGGCGTCGTGCGAAGTCTGCATTTAAACAGATAGCACTTCACTCACTTCAATAAACTTTTCATTCCAAATAATAAGGGCAACACGGGTCGCGTTAAAATAACAAATCTTTCTTTTATTTTATGGCATATGATTGTGCTTTCACGATTCCGCTAATGCTCAAATATCAAATCGCAGCCTCTGCACAACAAAGAAATTACATTTATATGTCATGATTCTTTCCTGAAAGACTGAAGCTTGGTTGGGGTTGCCCTACCCGCGCTTCGATATTCATTCCAAAACGTTCCGTGTTCCAAAGTTCTTACATAATTGGAATTAAAAATCTGAGCAAATATTTTAGCAAAGAAAAATTTTCCAACAGAAACAAATATCTGTGTGTTTCCCGAGTATAAAACTGTTTTAACAAACATCAAAAACTGTCAAACGACGCTTCAATTCATAAAAAGGTGTCTGCGTACAACATCAACAAAAGTGCCATCTAGAAGTGCGGGCCACAGAGCTGGCAACACCTTAGCTTAAATCTGGACTGGAATCTACTGGTGGTGTTGCCATTGGTTCGCATCGCCAAGTTTCCTCCGCGCTATCATTTTTCCACACATTTCCTGCGAAACTGAAGCGACGGTGAAGTTTGAAAGACCTTCTTTGGAATCTCAACAATATTAATTTCAAAACCCTATTAATTAAACAATATTAATTATAAAACCAGCTAATGATCTTAATGGGGCGGTACTTTATCTTGTAACTTTCTGAAAACTACATAAGCCTTCGCGTCAAAATTCAAACTCGTAGATTGTCAGAACACTACATTACCCTTTTTACTTTTTCGTAGTTAAACTTCTTTGCACAAAGAATATATAAACATAAATCTCTCAAATTTAACAAGGAATTTAAAAAAAATAAACAAATTATATAAAGTTTGAAACCTATTAACAAAAAGCCGCTTTCGGAATCATAACGTCACCATTGTAATTTACTATGTAATAAATATGATCCTGATATATGTATATTAATTAAAGTGTTTCAAGAGAAAGTTATTAATCTAGTTCTTGTAAGAAGTACTTGGCGATATCAAAAGTAATTAATTCGGTAATCTTTAGCGAAGATTACTCAAGAGTTTAATAGACTAAATTATCATCCTACTCATATTATAAATGTTAAAGTTAGTATGTTTGTAAGTAAACTTGCATATTTATTACTTCATCATGCAAAAAACAACTGAACATCTAAATAAGATGAAATTTGGTACACATTATTAGTTATAATCTGAATTAGGACATAGGATACCTTTTTATAACTTATAGGAAATACCATATAATATAT